AATAGAATAAATACCTCTTACCTACACACTTCCGGCGTATACATAGGCCTCGGTAAATACTCTGTGAACTCATTGACACATATATGGTAAAAAATCAATAACATATCTTTTGCAAGTTTATCTTCTTTAGGCAGACGTCATTTTAGAACACGTTGTCACATTAGACTAAATAATAGATACATTTAAAAAAAAATAGGCTTAGAAAGCCGAACTTTCTTTTAAGTCAAAGTAATCTCAATCTAATCTAAAGCTATTATTATAATTATTATAATTTTATTTTTAATGCCTAGGTGGGTGGATGAGCTTACGACCCACCTGATGTTAAGTGGTTGCGGGCGTCTTGAGATATAAGTTCTAAGGTCTCAGTATAGTTACAACGGCTGCCCCGCCCCATCCTTCAAATGTATGTAATGAAGAGACTGAACAGATTATAAGCGTATGTTGCGAAGTTTGTGCCGCCAGCCGGAGAGGTTGTAAGTAATTCTATCTATCTATTATTAATCTGTGCTCGTTCATAGAATCTCACGATCGCTTAAACAAAAATGAGATATATATTTGGAGACAAGGGGGCAAACCTTAGTAATTTTTCCCCCGCAATTTGTATCATTGGAAAATTGAGCTCACCTGGCCACGACGCATGGTTCTGCTACTCCATTATACCAATTAAGGAATGAGTTTACAAAACAAATTACTTTATTGTACAATAACGCTGTCGTGTCCAATTGGTAGATGTAACCTTTTATTTTTTCGATTAGCATGAATTTATTGTGCCGTTCCCAATTTCATAATTCCTCCGGTTATCGGTCTCGTCGAACCTTTCGCTTGCGATGAAGGGCTCGGCGAGTAAATTAAACCACAGACACGGCCCAACTGAGTTTCTCGCCGGATCTTCTCAGTGGGTCGAGTTTCCGATCCGGTGGTAGATTCTGCGAAGTACGGCTCTTGCTAGGGTTCGTATTAGCAACGTCGTCAGGTTTGAGCTCCGTGAGCTCACCTACTAGTTCGGTGAATCCAGAATAGCCCCTCGAGGTTACCAGGTTAGGACAAAAAACATTTTTCCTGGCAACTACTGCGACTTCTATGGAAATTTTGTATTACTTGCTTAATGGTTTGCAATGCTATTCTTATTTATTATATATTACTTATTAACACCAAATACTCACTTTATATTTTTCATTAATAGTAGAGTTTTTTCTTTTTATTACTTTTAAAATAATAGAAAGTAAGTTTTAATTATTATTTTCGTAGTTAATGTTTAATCAGACGCGATTCATAGGATTTAAATAAAAAATGGACGCGAAGCAGCGTTCTTCAGGATTTAAAATAATAATAATGTGGGTAGTATAAAATAAATGTTGGCGATTGTATAATGAACCGCGTTACTTTACCCGGCCACGGGTCGAAAAGTACAATCAGAAAACGTTCATAAATTATGTGCTGGAAGTAAACTACCTTGTTGGGTTAGACAGATGAGGAAGGCTCGGTAGAATTATCGCTTCAATATAAGAAATGTTGTAATTACAACTACATTGTATTTTTCGATTGCTATTTTCTTTCTGTTGATAAATGGTTACGGCACTGCGAACGTATTCAAATTAAGGACGATTCAGATAAAAAACAATTTATTGTATTAAATGAGCTCAGTGCGCTTAGAGCGAGTTTTTTAACTTTTCGATCGCGTAAAAGTTAACTCATATTTGTATGGAGTTGAAACAGCGCCCCTAGCGGCGAACGTAGGTAAACGTTTCAACTCCATACAAATTTGAGTTAAGTTTTACGCTATCGAGAACATTAAAAAAATTGCACTAAGGACATAGGGCTGAGCTGGTTAAGTTATTACCGAAGCCCGGGGATTTAACAACGTGAATGTTGCTACCTACCTTGAAATATGTCGATATCTCAATTTTATTCTTGAAAGCTTGACTGCATCGCGGTATTAATAGTCTGGATGGTGTGTCTACTCGTGCGGGCTCACTGCAAGGAAAGTTGGAGGTTTGCGAAGTCGCATGCTGTATGGGCATTCTGATTTTACTGGTGGTAGGACCTCTTGTGAATTCACGCGGGTAGGTACCACCACCCTGCCTATTTCTGCCGTGAAGCAGTAATGCGTTTCGATTTGAAGGGTAGGGCAGCCGTTGTAACTATACTTGAGACCTTAGAACTTATATCTCAAGGTGGGTGGCGCATATACGTTTTAGATATCTATGGGCTCCGGTAACCACTTAACAACAGGTGGGCTGTGAGCTCGTCCACCCATCTAAGCAATAAATAAATAAAAAAAGATTAATAGCTGGAGAAACAATCCTCTGGCTATCCTTTGATGCGAGAGACACAACCATACTTACCTAAAGTTTCATAGAAATATTAACAAGTGCTCTTATTTTCAGGGCCACTCCAAATAATTTGAGGATCGAGACGTGCTCCCACTGCACCACGCCCTCGGAGAGACACGCTCCTGAAGTGGTCTCAGTCAAGGTCGGCTGCCTCCACATCAATCCAGCTACAGAGTAAGAATTCTTAATATTAGAATGTTTTTTATTAGATTCTGAATCTCTGCGGTCAAGTGGTTAGTGATCCTGGCTGCCGGACTACTATACCACGACGTGTAGGTTCGATTCCTATTTGGATATTTGGTATAAATATTTAAATTGTACTTGTTCTTATCTCGTTTGTCTTTTACCGACAGAGTTGGATGTAAAAAGTTATGCAGTGTTAAATTAAAATTAACATGGTTAAAATAAATTATTTTAAATCCCTATGTTAATTGTTTATGGATATTAGGGCAATTAAAAATAATGTTGTGTATTAAATTAACGCCAAATTTTGGTACACTAAATCGAAGTGTAGTTAAACTAGAAATAGATAAGTAGACTTTTTACTACATTGACACAAGATAGGGTGTGAAAATTTAATATTATATTTTTATGCAATACCTAATGTTACGTGATAAAGGCTATAATTATATTTGAATAACACCTTGATTTAACTGAGTAGTATAATTAATGGACAATATACTTAGTCTGGCCATAAATACTGTTACAATTAAAAATAAAAATAAAAACTATTGCAAATAACATTTATTACTTTTACAGTGTGTTAGTTTAATACATAAATATAAAACAATTTAAAGTATAAAAAGCTTATTCGAAGTGGTCTCCATTGGTTGCAATACAGTCCTTTAAACGTTGATGCCAGTTATCAATAGAAGCACGCACTCTTTCCATGGGAAAATTTTTCACTACCAATCGTACGGATTGTTTTAGGGACTCCAAATTATCATGGCGTTTAGAGCAAGCCGTACTCTCTAAAACTGACCATAAATCATAATCCAGTGGATTAAGTACGGGACTAGACGACGGGACCAGTCTTCAGCTCTGATGAAGTCCGAAACGTTCGTTTCCAACCAAGACTGCGTAGACCGAGCTTTATGACCTGGCGCCGAGTCTTGCTGGAAGGACCATTCTTGATTATTGAACATGGTGTTGTTAAGGGGCTTCACTACCTTCACAAGATTGGTATCTTGATACACTTGTGCCGATGTTTTGATACCTTTTTCACAAAAATATGGCTCAGTCACTCCTTCATAGCTAATACCTAATACCACACCAAACCATCACTGAAGTCGGATAGTGCCCACGTTGCACTCTGTCGACTAATTGGGAAGCTTCCTTAGAGCTTTGAGCATAAATACGTTCATTTTGTTTGTTAAAATGTTGCTCAATTGTAAAAAAATTCTCTTCCGTAAACAAAATTTTTCTATGACCTCCCTTTGCGTACCGCTTCAGTAGTTGTTTCGATTTTACCACCCTATTCTCTTTTAAATTATCAGTTAAGAAATGACCAGTATGTTTCTTATAGGCTGCAAGTCTTAAGTCATCTTTTAAAATACGCGACATGGTTCTAGGTGCTATCTTCATCTCCCGAGATAAAATCTTTTGCTTTCGGACAGGATTTCTTCGAATTATTTCCCTTACTGCTTTGACCACCTTTTTCGTACGAACACTACGTGGACGGACATATCTTTTTCTGTCACAAACAGAGGATGTCTCATTACACCTATGAATAGCCCAGAATATTTTACCAATACCAAGCGCATGGAGAGTTTTAAAAATTGCATTTGGCTCCATACCTACTTTCGGCTGTCCAATTTCAAAACCTAGTATCTGACAAATTTAAAAAAAAGTGTGTTTTTGCATTTTTCGACCTTATAAACCATTCTTCACACACTAGGATAGCAAAAACCCCCAAAAATTTGTAAAAAACGAAGTTGCACAAAGTCGGACACCTAATATCTACAGTAAACGTTTTCAAAAAGCAAAAATTACAAGATTAGAATTGTTTGCGCATGGCGTCGCCACACCATACTCATTACTACTGGCACTGAGTTTCTCGCCGGGTCTTCTCAGTGGGTCGCGATTCCGATTCGATGGCAGATTCTGAAAATCACTGCTCTTGCTAGGGCTAGTGTTAGCAAATCCTCTCAGGTTGAGCCCGTAAGGTCACCTACCAGTCCAGGCGTAGCTGAAATAGCCTCTTAGGCTACCAGCGAATAAGTAGGAGAAAAAAAACTACATATAGACTACCATATACTATATATGAGTCGTCTATTATCAAAGGTGGCAATCTGTGCATTTGGACAAAAAAATGTTATTGATATGTCAATACAGATTGATTTGAATATAATCGTCTCCTTCAAAGAATACGGTTCAAATTGAATATAATCGTCTCCTTCAAAGAATACGGTTCAAAACCTGCATTAAATAAAGGTTAATACTTAACCTGTTATTTGTCTAAGATGTCGTTCAGAAGAGTTTTGTGACTGCCAATGGAATACAAAGTCAATAATTCGTTTTTCTGATTTACCAATAATTGTCCAAAAGTCACATTGCCGGCTTTGATAATAGTCGACTCATATGTATGTACAGAATATACAAACATAGAGTGCGTCGTTACGCCAGTAATCGGCTTAACGTGGGGCTATAAATGTTTCACATCAAAAGTAGTTTTTAATAAGTCGTAATAAGTATATTTGCATCAGCGTCGGTCGGTTTTCTACTCCGATGCAATCAGGCTTCCCAGTTCGAAGTGTGGGACGGCTAATAATACCTGGCAATCGAGAAAACTTGCACAACACAAGTGAGCTTGTTTATGAAATTCCATCCTCCGCAGGGAAGAAATTACAGTTGTTAATACGCTTTTATTAGCTATTTTAGTATTTGTCGGTGTAAGGGAATAGTATAAAGTGATTTTTAGCGAACTCGGGACGTCAGATTAATTTAAAAATTTGTACTCGTATACAGGAGCGATGATAACAAAATAATTTATTTCCTTAGGCTAATTAATATATACGATTAGGATCATCGGTATAAAAAGAAATAATTATTTTAATTTTTACAACGATTTGCTGTTAAATGGACTTTTTATATTTTTAAAACCAAATTAATTGTTGTTTTAAAAAGTGTACATTGTTTTGTATAGTAGAGCATGATTTTCTTTCGATTTTATACGTTTTTTTATTTCTTAGATGGGTGGGCGAGCTCACGGCCCACCTGGTGTTAACTAGCTACCAGAGCCCATAGACATCTACAACATAAATGCCGCCACCCACCTTGAGATATGAGTTCTAAGGTCTCAAGTAAGTTACAACGGCTGCCCCACCCTTCAAACCGAAAGGAATTATTGCTTCACGGCAGAAATAAACAGGGTGGTGGTACCTACCCGTGCGGACTCACAAGAAGTTCTACCACCAGTAATAACTGTATGTTTCAATTTGTTTATTTTTTTGTATTCTAATTTGTGTATGCATTTTTTACAGTAGATGTACAAAGAAAAATACCAAACCATATTTAAAAAAAAAGTCCGCGACACGTACTTTGTAGATACGAAAACATTATTTATCACATATTTTTAAAATTTTAAAATGATAATAGCAATTTTATTGGTTGTTGGAAAATTCCGAGCGGTGCTTGCTATGAAAGAATTTATTTCAAAATAGGCATATTATACTTTCTGTTAAGACATAAACAGTGAAACAGATGATAACAACAAGCCTGTCATTTGCACGGATTTCGTGACGTAGGTTAGGTAGGTAAATAGAAAGCGCACAGCCGATCAGATTATGGCTGATTAAACTCATGCCAATAACATTGTTGTCATTCCTGAGCAATTGCGTTATGTTTTTACGTAATAATCTCTTTTTCAACCTGTAAACACTCTATGCTCAGTTTAGGTTTTTTGCTTTTTTTTCTGGTCTTTCCCATTCAGTAATCTATAATAAATAAATAAATTAGCCTTTATTGCTGTTAGAGCTTAACTTATTTAACTAAACATAAAAGGATAACAATAGAGGTAAGAAAACTATAAAATTAACTTATACTAAAACATATCTCGGCATTCGGCTTAGCTCTCCTCTTAACAGCTTGTCTTTCGACAAAGGCCTCCTCTAAGGATTTCCATTTGCTTCTGTCCTTTGCTGTACGTAACCATTCTGGCCCAGCTACTTGCTTCAAGTCGTCTTCCCATCGCTTCGGCTGTCTTCCTCTGATTCTTTTGTTTTCTCTAGGGTACCATTCCGTTATTATTCTGGTCCATTTTTCTTTCTTTTCTCTCATCATATGTCCCGTCCAGCGCCATTTTAATTTTCTGCATATTGATTGAACTTTTCCAAATTTAGTCTCTCCTTTGATCTTTTTTAGTTCTATTTTATCCCTTCTTCTTACTCCCAATACGCTTCTCTCTATCCCATTCTGACATATATTCAATTTATTTTGTTGTTTTTCAGTTAAGGCCCATGTCTGGCATCCGTATGTAAGACATGGCAGTATGCAAACATTGAAGACTTTTCGTTTCTC